CAGGGCCTCCAGAGCCGGCGGCACGAGCGGCAGCTCCGAGCCCCGCTTGGGCGCCAGGGGGAGCTCGCGGGGCCGCGCCACGACTCCCTCCCGGCAGCTGGTTCAAACTGGTTTGGGCAGGGTGCGGCCTCGGCGGGCTGCATTCCAGGCCCCAGACTGGCAGCCCGTGCCGGGGCCTCGCCAGGGCCGGGGACCCAGGCCAGGACTGTGGGTCAGCGGCGGGGGCAGGAGCCCCGCACCCCGGCGAGGCCGGGGAGCTTTGTGCGAACGTCCACCTCTTCGTTGAAAATCATTTCTTTAGCAAGGGCCTGGACGATGCTGGCAGCGAAACGAAGCCCCTGGTGGGGCGACTGTCGGACTGCGGGGTGCATCGGAATCAACTGCAGAGTTGGTCCGAAGGGGAGGCCCCGATCTTCCCCGCCCCAGGACTCCCATTCTGAAAGTTGGGGTACGGCCCCGGGCATCTGTATTTGGCCAGGTCTCTCTAAGGCATAGCTGCACGTCTGGAAGGGAAAGCCCTAGAAGCCGAGGGGCGGTGGCAGCCCTGCGGCCCAGGACGGAGTCCCCGGGCGCTGGGAGGAGCGCAGCCCCACCCAGGGATGGGGGTCCGGGCAGGCAGCACATTAAGTAATGCTCTCGGCTATTTAAGTTAGAACCAGCGTCAAATGAATTAAACGTTCAGCGCGGTGAGACCCCCTTCTCCCTCCACCCCCAAGGTTACCGCGTTCCTGGATGTGAGCCGCGTCCGTCCGGTGCAGCGTCACGTCTATCCCGCGCGTCCGCGACCCTAACAGTCTATGTGTGACACCGCGTTTTAATAACTGTTAATGGCAGCGAGCCCTGTGGACCTTTGGTGACCACCCTCCCCCAGCCTGGGGCTCTCATTTTGCCCGTGGCGTGGCTTGTTGCAGTCGGGTCTATTTGGCCAAGCTGAGACCAGGCGGGGGCTCTTCCGGAGCAGGCCCCCCGCCACCGAGCAGGCCTGACGGGGTAGCTGCTAGGATGGCGATAGCCAGGCCTAGATGCACCCTGGGGCTCCCCGGAGAGCTCTGAGAATTGCCGGGGGCGTGGCTCTGGGCTCAAAGCTTAGCGTCAAGCCCCATCCCCGGGGATTCTGGGTTCCTGATACACAGCCCGGGCTGAGAACCGCTTCCCTGTCGGAATTCCGAAGGAAAGGAATGATCCACGCCGACGGTGCCCGTCCTTAAACTTGGCTGGATTTTGGAACCCCCTGGACAACTTCGAAACACACTGATGCTCAGGTGTCAACCCTAAGAACTGCGCGTGGCCTAGGCGGGGCCAGTTGGGAGTTGCAAACCAGCCCCAGGTGACTAAATCTTGAGTTTGCAAACCACCAGTTGACCTGGTAGTGCTGCGGCGGGTGCAGCGCTAGCCACGAGCCACTGGGTGGCGCTGCCTGCTCAGCTGGCGCTCAGAACGCCGCGGACCGCGGCCGCAGGGTGCGCACCTGCCCCGCCTCCGCCAGGCGGGCCTCGGGGCATGCTGCGGACCGGGGCGGGGCTCCGAGGCCAGATCGCCGCGGCCGGCCAAAAGGCAACCTCCGCTGGTCCGGCCCCGCCGCCCTCCCGATGCAGCTCGTGGATGAAGACCGGCCTGAGCCCGTGCCCAGCGGGGCGCGCGAGCTCGCGCTCTTCCTGACCCCTGAGCCCGGGGCGGAGGTAAGGGGCAGGGGCGGGGGAGGTCTCGAGGTTGGGATCTGGGTCCCTGAACCCGGACCGGCACTCGGCTTCCCCGCGGCATCCTCTCGCGCCAGGAGTGCCGGGGGGCTAGGATCGCCTTTCCGGAGCCGTGGCTGCCTGGGGCCACGCGCCGCTGCAAGGCAGGTCGCGCCTGCTCCCTCCTGCAGTCCACGCCCGCGGCCGGGGGC